GGTTCAAATCCACCAGCCACTCCTCAGAAGGAAGACTGGGCAATCTACTTCCATAGAGATACCGCCTCGGAAACCCAAGGAGGGGTTGCTATGAGTCAGATCTGACTCCACAGCAGTGAGTTTGGTTTTTGTTTGGTTGGTCTCCCCAACTAGGAATTGGAGTCTGAGATGGTCAGGGATGATGTCTTCCTCGTCTGGTAACTCTAGGACCTGGCACAGCGCCTGATACATGGCAACAACTTAGTAAGTGCTTACTGAGCCAAGGAAGAATGTGAGGGACTGCAGGCAAGGTTCACTTAGGACAGAAAGACCCAGAGGTCCATTTTTTTTAACATTTCTGTAATATGGTCACATACTCCCTTTTGTAACCCCCGTGTGAGTTGATGTGACAACTTGTCATGTGCTGTCAGTATCAGGAGTCCCTGGGTCATGCAAATGGCTAACACCAAAAGGTTGGGAGTTGGAGCCCATCCAGAGGCACTTGGAAGAAAGGGCTGATGATCTACCTCCAAAAAAGACAGCCATTGAAAGCTCCGTGGAGCACATTGCAGCCCCGACAGCCCGGGTCACTCCTACTGAGACATGAGGGCCCTGGAGTCCAGGACTGTGCTCAGCCTTTCCTCGCCCCACAGCGCCCAGCGCACTGCCATGTGTGCAGTAGATGCTCAGTGATGATTTATTCATTTATATTTAATTAGCAAGATGAAGGGTGGCTGGCTGAGAAAAGTGCCTCAGATCTCTTAAGATAGTGTGCTGGTTACGTTTGTGGGTCAACTTGGCTGGGCCTGGTTGAGTGGCTGGACAGCTGGATATAGTATCCCCCGTGATGAGACTGGTGATCACCTCCATGGTGGAATCTACTGGGAGCAGCTGAGTAGCTGCCTTTGGATATGTGGTCTGCTTCCCATATATAAGAAACAGCTTTGACAGTGGTCTCTAGCTTATGGCACACTTGGACACTGCATGTAGCCATGTCATTGTTTAGCAGCCTGCCATGCTCTGCTGACCTTGGGACTTATAATGGACTTAAATCAATGACCTGCCGTGTGGTTTGGTAACATCGGGACTGTGCAATTATATTTGTCGACCGTGGGCTTGTCAGCCTCAGCAGCCAGCAGCTGAGTGAAGAAAAGCCTCTAGCTTCAGTGGGCTGGGAGCAGGAGGCAGAGCTGAAGCCCAAGGTTGAGGGGCTTTCACCCAGCCCCTAGAGCCTGGCACTTTGAACTCAGACTTCTAGCCTCCCGAACTGTAAGAGAATAAATTCCTGTTTGTTAAGGCCATCCCATCTGTGGTATACTCTTGTCAGAGCAGCACTAGGGGGCCAGAACAGAGGGGGTGCTGGAATTGACTTAGGAGGCAGGGCTGGATCTCTGTGTTTGGCAGAAAACCACAGGCCATCCTGTGGTCTGTGTGGTCTTGTCCTGTTGCTTCTAGAAGCCTGAATACTTTGGAGTTTCCATTGTTAGTGTATTTCTTGATTCTTTGAATAAAGAGACAGAACCTCACAGCTGGCTCTGGTGAAGTCTCCCCAAGCAGCCAGGGCCCCAGGCTGACCTACAGAGGGGCCTCCTCTGATTGTTTCTCTCCCCTTTTTCAGAAGAAGACAGAAGACTACAGGCCAACAACAGAGAATTCAACGCGACGTTTGGCTATCCGGTGAGGGGCGGGCCTCCTCGGGGCTGGTACTCTCTAGGAAAGCTCCCCCTTGTTGGTGGGGCCGGCCGTCGGCAGTCGACGGCCACACGGATCCTACAACACAGGTTTTCCTTTCTCAAGCTCCCGTACGCTGCGGGCTGCTGCAGCGAGGGCTCAGAAACCAAATGAATGCAGTGACCTGAGCTCAGGAGAGGACGGGTCCCCGCGGCTGGGTTGGTGGGTAGCTCCTAGAATAATGATTTGGAGGGAACAGGATGGAGAGAGCAGAAGCTGGCTGTATACACAACACAGGCAGCAACTGCAGTCACCTGACTGAGTAAAAAAACCCACTGCTGTCATTAGGATCCGATTCATAGCGACCCCTCCTTGGGTTTCCGAAGTGATACCACGATGCCAATCTTCCGAGGAGTGGCTGGTGGGTTTGAACTGCCAGCCTTCTGGTTAGCAGTCACATGCCTTAGGGACTATGCCACCAGAGCTCCTAGGGCAGTGCACAGTCAGCCCTAACCTGCAGCTAACGTGGTCTTAGGTAACCTCAGGGCCTTGGCTCCCTCGACCCAAGTGATGACATAGTACTCCCTGCTGGGACTGTTGGGAGCATTCAGTGAGTTAAGGCACAAGAAATACTTAAACAGCCTTGTGCACAGTCCCTGCTCAGTCAGGGAAAGCTGTTACTGTTGTTGAGGAAAAGGGGGAAATTGGGCATTTCTGTCCTCTCTCTCTCTGAAGCGGGTGGGGGAGCTGCTCTCGTGGCTATTTCCCATTTCAATGACTAGTCTTGGTCCTCTTGGTCCGGACTGAAGGGTGGGGGAGGGCGCCATGTCTTTATCAACTCAGTGTTGCCTGTCTTATGTTCCTCTTACTGTGTTTTCTTTGACTCACAGGACAACACCATCAAGACCTCAAAATATAGTGTCTTCAACTTCCTGCCCCTGAACCTATTTGAACAGTTCCAGAGACTTGCCAATGCCTATTTCCTCCTTTTGCTCTGCCTACAGGTATTGTATTCTGCAGTCTTCTCCACAAGACATTCTGCCCATCTCTCTGGATTCACATTGTGTGATCAGTCCTCTCTCCTCGCTAAGCTGAGAGATGTCTTTCATCTTCAGACCATAGGCAGATGGCCGGAGCCTCAGGCAGTCTCCTGGAGTAGCTGTGCTCAGGATGGGCCAGTGTGAAACGTGCCTGTACAAGAGAAAGGCGATCAGGCCACCAAACCCCAAGGCAGGCAGATTCCTCCTCACGGCTGCCTGGCCACAGTTCAGCTTGACTGTAGACCCTTCACCCCAACCGCAGCTGTGACCCTGTGAGGTCTGTCAGCACCCACTGACTCCTCCATCGGGTCCTAGCCTCCCTGATAGAGAGTTGACCCGCAGTGGTGCTGCGAACGGGGGAGCATTTAGAACCCGGGAGTGCCAGCACCAGACAAGGCAGCAGGGGTGGTAGTCCCAAACTGGAAGGGAGCCACCATTGTGCTGGAGGGGAGTGGGAGTGTATGTGCTTTCCCCATGTCCACTCCTACCCTCCACCCCCAGCACCTTTTGTTGTTGGGGGATCTGGTCCCTTGCCATCAAGACAGAGGGAGTGGAGTTCAGGACAGATAGGTGGCAACCTACAGTCTCCCCTTCTTTCTTCTCCCTTGGGAAAATATTTATATTTTGAGGGTCATATGAAAGCTGCAACAGAGGAAAGTAACGAGGGTACTTGAGTTTCTTAGGAAGCTTTGGAGGCAAAAATGGTGTGGGATTAGGGAATGGGAGGGAATGTACTGTCCTTCAAGCTTCTGACCCAAGACTCTCTTCCTTTCCCTCTCACAGCTGATTCCCCAGATCTCGTCCTTGGCGTGGTACTCAACTGTGGTACCCCTGGTGGTGGTGCTGTCCATCACAGCAGTAAAAGATGCCATCGATGACCTGGTGAGGTGGTTTCCTGGGCTCTGGTCCCTCACTGCACTTAGTCAGGTTGTGTGGCAAGAGGGACTTGCCAGAACTCCCCAGTGCTAAGAGGCAGCACTGAATGAAAACCCAAACTCACTGCCGTCAAGGCGGTCCCGACCCTGGCGACCCTTCGTTGGGTTTCCCAGGTGGTGTCTCTACAAAAGTAGATTGCGCAGTCTTCCGAGGAGTGGCTGGTGGGTTTGAACCGCCAGCCTTTTGGTTAGCAGTCAAGTGCAACCAGAGCTCCTAATATACTGGTTTAAATTGCAGTCACAATTAAGTCATAAACATCCCCAACCCCTTTCCGGTCAATTCAGGGTCACCCAGTTACTTCTGGTTTAAGACTCAGTCTCATTAGGGTAAATATTCTGAAATATTCAGATTCTTCCCAGCCCCTCTCCAACCCTGCTCTTCTCCCAGGGAGTCATCGCAACTGAAAGGGGATTCATGTGAGTCCTGGCATCAGGACGTACCTGTGTCTGTCTGCCTTCTCTCTGGTATTTTGATACCGGCTTCTCTCCTTACCGAACCACTTAGAGGCTTTGGAAGGCAAACAAGACTAGGATGAGTGGCGGTGCATGGGGACCTAGCTGCCCTACCTCTGCCACGTTCTGTGGAACTGTGCGCTTCTGCCCACTAACCTGTCTTCTCTTCTCCGTGGCTTTGGGCCTACACTGTTCGTTCTCTTTCCCCTGGCTTTGGAATTTGATATCTAAAGCCAGGACTTTTCTTTTTCCTCTTCCTGGGTTCCTTTTCTGCCCTCCCTTCCTAGCTCCCCCAGAGACAGTTGGCTTTTAATAGTAGAAGGGCCTGAGAGGGAAAAAGAAAAATTGCTACAGAGGGAAGCCACCTTGGTAATATTTCAAACATTATCCTCCTGCATACAGCTTGCTGCGTGTCTATGTCCTGAACATTTTCTTTCCTAATTTCAGAAAAGGCACGAAAGTGACAATCAAGTAAACAACCGGCCAGTTCTGCTGTTGGTGGACGGCAGGTCGGCCCTGGGAAGGTTTTGGTTCTCCTCTGAGCTTTATCTTCATTAGTCGGTTGGCTGGTTGGTTGGTTGATTTGTTTCGCTTTCATAGGTTTTCCAAACAGAACCCTGGGGGAGCTCTCAGAGCAGAGAGTCAAGAGCCGTTTTCTTACAGGGTGGAGGAGGACAAATGGATGAACGTCCAGGTGGGAGATATCATAAAACTGGAAAACAACCACTCTGTCACGGTGAGTGCCTCTTTGGGGTGAGTCTCTTTCTCTTTGGGCGTGAGTGGAGGACCTTCATCTGTCTGGCTTTGCAAACCGGAAGTGAGCATCTCCTGCAGTAAGGAGCTTGTCCTTGTCCCTCTCTCACCACTGCTACAGATACAGTGTCAGTAGTTGTGGGAGGGAAAGTGTGGTGGCAGTGATGAGTCCCCAGCAAAATACAGCAAAGTCTGCAAGTTCTCAAAACGCCCATTGCTCCTGAGATGCCGGCCGTTGCCGCCTGTATTGCTGAAAGCCTGCCTTCCTGCTGTCTTACCTCCTCTGACTTTTCTGACCACAGGCAGATGTACTTTTACTCTCTAGCAGCGAGCCCTACAGTCTGACATACATAGAAACGACAGAGCTGGATGGGTAAGTGCGCCTCTTGTCGTTCCGTTAAGACGCTCGAGTCAGCTCACAGTGCTTCCCCACTGAGGGAGAACATGGGGCAGGGAGCCCATGCTGTGCTCAGATGGAAGGGAGGCTGGGAACGAGCCGGATGAGAGAAAACAGGAAGCCAAGCCCTTGGGACTCTCGAGTCTCAGGCTGAGCTCTGGGCAGCAAACTGGAGCCTGCACTGAGGGCAGAATTGGACAGATTAACCCCATATTACGCAGTTCCACAAGGGAGACCCTGCTGACTGTATTCAACAATGCTGAGTGGTAGGAAAGACGTTGCCAGAACTTTCAAATTTCAGAATAGAATTCTGAAGTTCCCAGGGGTTGAGTATCGGTATGGAGGTAACCGTTTACTCCTGAAACAGCGTATTCTATAAAGGATTTGAGGTAGGAACTCGTTCATGTGTAAGGCCAAGGTCTTTGGAAGAGCAGGGCCATCTTGAGAAAGCTTGTTCTTGTGGAGTTCCCTTATCAGTCTGCATCTTACAACTATGACTCTTGGTGCCCATGAGCTTTCTGAAACGTGGCTTCCATTTCTGCTTCTGTCTGTACGCATCCTTGTATCAGAAACTGTTCCCTGGAGTCCCTTCATTGTGGGCCACATACTTATTGTTACACGGAGGTGTGTGTAGTTTCTTACTCATTCTCCAAGAGAGCAGGTGCCACCTGCAGGTGGTCTGTGATGGATCTTCAGCTTCTCTGGAGCCTCTGTTCAGAGGGATCTCGGGTTAGTTAACGTCCCGGTGGTATGTTGCAGGCAGCAAGCGGTCTGGAGAAGAGGGAGTAGGCTCCCTCTCTGCCTCGTTGCGGAGCCAACCCACCTCGTATTATCCGTGAGAGAGGGGATGATGGGAGTGATCCCTAGGACTGTGATTTACAGCCCAGGCTCTGCTGGCAGGGCCTGTTCTCTAAACACCGTAGAGGAGCAGGAGTCACTGCACTGTGGACTGTGCCGTGTGTGTCCTTTACTCTAGCGAAACGAACCTGAAAGTGAAGCAGGCCATCTCGGTTACCAGCAAAATGGAAGACAACCTGGAGTTACTGTCTGCCTTTGATGGTGAGTTAGGAAATAAGTTTCCCACCCGAATTCCCATCAGTAGAAGCCCAAATAGGGTACATCGGTACAGTGATTCCATACAACTTACTGAAAACAGACAGACAGGCTGATGTGGAAAACTATACACAACATATTAACAAGTGAAGAATATCCATGATGAGACATCACATGGTCTAGATAATGTAAACTTGGTTTGGAAATATGTATTACGTGTATGTGTCAACTTGGAAGGATGTCCTCCAAGAGGAAGATACTGCTTATCTCTTGGTGATAATGTCCTCTTTATGCTTTTAGTATTCAAGACATTTTTACAATTCGAGCATTATTTTACTTTACTAATTAGTCAAAAGTCCAATTATTTCCATTAAAGGAAAAACAAAAAACCCACTAGACTTTCTTTGTAAAGTAGTCTTCAGTTTTCTCAGATTCAGTCTCCTATGGTATCTAGGGCTTGTTGTGCTAGTTGTCGTGTAGGCCTTTTTTTCCCTCTTGAATGATCTGTGTCACATGCAGAATTACCCTCTCTGGATGCCCAGAAACCTCTGTTTGCCTGTCTGCAGGGAGCTGGGAAATGTGCAGGAGCTGGCAGGAAGGAAGAAGATGGGTGTTTATTTTGAAAGAGATTTTCTTTCCTCTTTCCTGTTAAGCCTCCTCCATCCTGTTAGGAAAAGCCTAAGATTACAGATCCCGGACTCTTCCCCTTAATTTTTTTTTCAGGAAAAGTAAGTTGTGAGCCTCCCAATAATAAGTTGGACAAATTCACAGGAATACTGATGTATAAGGAGGATAAGTTCCTCCTGGACCACGACAAGCTGCTGCTCCGAGGCTGCACCATCAGGAACACAGACTGGTGCTACGGCCTGGTGATTTATACCGGTACATCTCCTTGGGCCTGCTGGGTCCCCCCGTGGCCAGGTGGTGCACACTGAGATTTCAGGATGCATGTATGCCACTCAGACACACAGCAGAATGCCAGGGCTTGGAGTTTGGATGGAGGATGGAGGATGGAGGATGGATGGATGGATGGATGGAGGTTAAAGCTTATTTTTCTTAGAAAAATATGACTTTTTTCCAAAGAAATGCGCCACCAGCATATCAGTTCAGGACTGCAGGGTACTCAGGAATCTTTCCCGCCACGTCTGAGCATGTGAAAGGGGCATGTGTAATAAGGGCGAATACACATGAGAGGACCTGCCTGTAGATTACTCCCATGAGGAGAGAAAACACACAGTCTTCCTTATGGAGAAATAAATCAGAATGTCTAGAGTTCATGCCAAAGACAAAGAACATAAAAATCATGAGCTGTGGCCCCTCTTGAGAAGTCATTTAGAACCACAATCCATTATGCTTAGTGAGGGATTTTCTGGGGAGAGTTGTGGTTCAGGAAAATGGAGGAGGTCTCTAGGTACCCTGTGCCACCAGTGACAATTAAGATTGATGACATCAACCATAGTGAGACAACGAGGACACTGGAGTTAACATTGAGGAAGATTTACCACAGTGAATACTACTCAATTCAGGTTCCCAAAACTCCTCTCCACTTTCTAGAAGTCAGGGTCCCAGATTCCTCATGTATATGAAAAATAATATGACCCAAGTCCTAGAGAGAAGCTTAAGAGTCCATGAAAGCCCTGGTGGAAATTTTTTATTGCTTCTTGGCTTATACTGGCACGTTCCAGGCTGCCTGGTGCCCAAGCTCAGAAGATTTGAAGTAGACTTACTTCCTTCATCGCACTTCAACAAACGCCTCCACGTGTTGTCACACAGAAGAAGCTCCTTTTTCAGCCAAACACTTTTCCCTCTAAAGCAACAGTAGTGAAATTGCCAACCAGCACAAATTTAGTTCAGGTTTCTCTAATTCTTGGTTACATGGTAATGAGAAACTTTTGAGATGTTGGGAGCCTCAGACCAGAGGAGAACTAATGACACCTAAAACCATGTGGAGGTATTCAGGGAAGAATTGAGTTGCTGTTCTTGCTAACATGAAACTCAAGTTCTACCGTCATCTCCACTTCCCCTTGAAACCTGGGGTATGGTCAGTCTTTCTGACAATCCTTGCAAGATATGATTTCTTGTAGTTTCCAGGCTCTGAGCCAAATGTCTAATGACTTCAGGCCCTTCAAGAGACGCTTAAACGGAAGGTATACTGTAGTTTATGTCATATGTTCTTGGTGTCTGCCCACATAACAGAGAAATTTCTTTTCCTCCACATGTAAACATTGGTGAAATTCCTTCATTAGTCTACATGCTAGAATTGCATCCAGATGGTAAAAGGCCAGAGAAATTGCTGCTTACCGTTTCTTCAAAGGCTGTTATGTTTCCTTTACAGCTGTATCTCTGGTCAGTGCTGTCTAGGCTGCGGTGACCATTACAAGCCCTCTGCTTCTCCTAATGACTCCCTTGTCATGAAGAAACGTGGACTCTGTCTCAGTCCCAGAGAAGTCTCTGCTCCACAACCCACCTCAAAGAAATCACTGCAATCGCCTTTTCTTTTCTCCCTTTCCCAGCTAGACATTAAATATAGTCTGGCTAGCAGTTGGGTTCCTTGAAAACAAGGTGTTTGGTAGGTGCTGTTGAGTTGGTTTTGACTCATCGTGACCCCATGTACAACAGAATGAGACACGGCCCTGTCCTGTCCCACCCTCACCATTGTTGGGTGCATGAGCCCATTGTTGTAGCTACTGTGCCAGTCCATCTTGTTGAGGGTCTTCCTCTTTGTCACTGACTTTCTTCTTTTCCCAGAATGATGTCTTTAACTAGCAACTGGTCCCTCCTGATAACATGTCCAAAGTGCATAAGACAAACTCTGACCAGCCTCACTTCTGAGGTGCGTTCTGGCTGTACTTCTTCCCAGGCAGATTTGTTTGTTCTTCTGGCAGTCCATGCTGTATTCAGTGTTCTTTGCCAACACCGTAACTGAGACATCAATTCTTCTTGGGTCGTCCTTATGCATTGTCCACCTTTCACATGCACAGGATGCGATTGGAAATACATGGCTTGGTTCTGGTGCACCTTAGTCCTCAGAGTGACATCTTTGCTTTTTAACATTCTAAAGAGGTCTTTTGCAGCAGGTTTGCCCAGTGATTTGTTGACTGCTGCTTCCATGAGCATTGATTGTGGATCCAAGGAAAACTAAATCCTTGACAAGAGCAATCTTTTTTCCATTTATCATGAGGTTGCTTATTGGTCCATTTATGAGGATTTTTGTTTTCTTTATGTTGAGATGTAATCTATACTGAAGGCTATAGTCTTTGATTTCATCAGTAAGTGCTTCAAATCTTTGCTTTCAGCAAGCAAAATTGTTTCACCTGTATATCACACATTGCTAATGGGTGTTACTCCAATCTGGATACTGCATTCTTCATATAGTCCAGCTTCTCGGAATATTTGCTCAGCATACAGATTGAATAAGTACAGTGAAAGGATACCATCCTGATTCACACCTTTCCTGATTTTAAACCATACAGTGTCCCCTTGTTCTGTTTGAATGACAGCCTCTTGGTTTAGGTACATGTTCCACATGAGCACAATTAAGTGTTCTGGAATTCCCATTCTTCGCAATTGAATCCATGATTGATGATCCATGCCTTTGCATAGTCAGTAAAACACAGGTAAACATCTTTCTGGTATTCTCTGCTTTCAGCCAAGATCCATTTGACATCAGCAATGATATCCCTTATTCGATGTCCTTTTCTGAATCCAGCTTGAATCTCTGGCAGTTCTCTGTTGATGTACTGCTGCGGCCATTTTTGAATGTTCTTCAGCAAAACTTTACTTGTGTATGAATCAAAGATATTATTTGATAACTTCCACATTCTGTTGGGTCACCTTTCTTTGGAAGGAACACGATAAGGATATCTTCCAGTTGGTTGACCAGGTAGCTATCTTCCAAATTTCTTGGCACAGACGAGTGAACACTTCCAGCATCCATCTGTTGAAACATCTCAAGTGGTATTCTGTCAAGTCCTGGAGCCTATTTTTATGCCAGTTCCTTCAGTGCAGCTTTGACTTCAGTACTGCTGGTGCTTGATCATATGCCACCTCCTGAAATAGCCAAACATAGACCAATTTTTTTAGTATAGTGACTCTATTCCTTCTATCTTCTCTGGATGCTTCCTGTATTCTCCAATATCTTACGCATAGAATCCTTCAATATTGCTGCTTGAGGCTTAAAGTTTTTCTTCAGTTCTTTCAGCTTGAGAAATCCCAAGCATGTTCTTCTTCCCTTGTGGTTTCTAGCTCCAGGTCTTTGCACATTTCATTATAATACTTTACATTGTCTTCTTTGAGCTGCCCTTTGAAATCTTCTCTTCAGCTCTTTTACTTCATCATTTCTTCTATTCACTTTAGCCACTCTCCATTCAAGAGAAAGTTTTAGAGTTTCTTCTGACATCCATTTTGGTCTTTTCTTTCTTCCCTGTCTTTTTAATTACCTTTTACTTTCTTCACATTTGATGTCATTCCACAACTCCTCTGCTCCTCAGTCATTAGTGTTCAATGCATCAAATCTATTCTTGAGATGGTCTCTGAATTCAGCTGCCATATACTCAAGATTGAACTTTGTCTCTGGACTTGTTTTAATCTCCTTCAGGTTCAACTTGAATTTGCATATGAGCAATTGAAAGAAAGAAGCGTTCTCTTTATCAGACAATCCCTTCTTTAAGCTAAAGAAACCAGAGGGTGATGGAAGAGAAGCTTGTGGCCCTTGGTCCATGAAAGGCTAGACTATCCAGTGTGCTGCAGACAGGAACCAGTGTAGGTACGCTGTGAAGCAGCAGCTGAGTCTCTCCTTAGAAGCAAAGTTTTCTATCTTTGTGTTATTGGCACCAAGTGTGAACCTTTTTCCAGGGCTTTAACTCTAGGTGTTGGATTGGAGTTAGACTAGGTGATCGAGAAGTTATATTTCAACCCAATTTCAAGTCTCTGAGTGTTTTCAGTGATTCTAAGAGCCAATGTCTCCATGTTTCACTTAGGGCCAGACACCAAGTTAATGCAGAACAGTGGAAAGTCCACCTTTAAACGGACACACATAGACCATCTCATGAATGTCTTTGTGATCTGGGTAAGTTAAAGACTTTTCTCAGTTTCTTTACAAACAGACATACTTCCCTGCCTTGCCCAGGAGTCACTGGAATTTCCAACTCAGAATTTAGTTGTTTGAAAGTATCAGGCAGTTTCAGGCCCCACAGAGTAATGTCTCAAGCAGAAAACAATGAAGCCAGTTTGCAAGGGAGTCTCTAAGTTACACATCTGTTAGGGAGGATAGTCACGATTTCTTTAAGACATTTTTATGCTTTGATCGGTGATACCAGAATGGATCAAGGATCCACCTCTGAAAACTAAAGCACATTGTTATTTACTCAGAGCCAGTTTCACTCATCAGCAGCTTAATAAAGCCTTGCTTAGACTAACTAGAACACCTCACGTAAACTAATGATTTTCAAACTGTGTTTCCTTAGAGCAGTCTTAAGGTCTGTTACAAGGGAATAGAGGGGCTCCAAGTGGGTTTTGTTTTGGTCTACCTGTTCTATAGTTCCTTCTTTGGAAAGAACACTATCTGTTCTGTAAGATTTCAGTTGGAAAAACAGAGGTGCCTAAGGCATTTGACTGCTAACCAGAAGGCTGGTGGTTCAAACCCATCAGCCACTCCTCGGAAGGAAGGTTGGGCAACCTACTTCTGTAGTGATACCACCTAGGAAACCCAAGGAGGGGTCGCTATGAGTCAGATCCAACTCGATGGCAGTGGGTTTGGTTTGGTGGCTAAGTGAAAAGACAACTCACACAAAGGAAGAAAATATTTGCAAATCACATATCTGATAAGGGACTTGTATCTAGAATATATAAACACTCTTACAACTTAATAAAAAAAAGCAATCCAATTAAAAATGAGCAATGGCTCAGAATAGACATTTCTCCAGAGAAGATACACGAATGGCTAATAAGCACAAGAAAAGATTCTCAGCCTCACTAATCATCACGGAAATACAGATCCAAACCCCAGTGATAGACCACTTCACATGCTCTGGGATCCTGGGATCACTAGAATCAAAGTCAGCTAAGGCCAAGTGTTGGTGAGAATGTGGAGAAATCAGGACCTTTTAACTGTTGGAGGGAACATAAAATGGTCCAGCTGCTTTGGAAAATAGCCTAGCCTTTCCTCCAACCAGCAACTACAGAGTTACCTCATGACCCAGCAATCCCTCGTTCCAAGAGCAATGAAAAACACACATTGTCGTCTCATCCCAAGCAAGAGGACATCTTCCGGGAGAAATTAAACACCATTATCTACGGAAGGACTGGGGTAGAAAGTGGGTGTCAGAACTTCAGAGGAGAGCCTGCTGAGTTTGAAGTTGTGGAGGCTAAGTTTGCCTGAAGCTCCTGTGTAGCCTAAGGTGAAGCTTATCAAACAGCGCATTGTGTCCTCAGTCTCACCCAGGAGAGTGGCCTGTCGGGGAAACAAAATTAGTCAGAGAACCATTCCAGCATCCTGTAATGATCAAACTGTTCCTCTATTCACTTGTAAGTGGACTAGAAGGAAACGAGTAACACAAAAGAGAGGATGAGGATGAGCAAGTAGAGGAACTGCCCCTGGAAGAAACAGATAAGGATTCAGGGAAGAGAAAAGAGAACTTTATTTAAAGTTCGTATTACTATCTGTTCTGGTTCCCTAGTGCTGCTCTGACAAGAATATACCACAAATGGCGTGGCCTTAACAAATAGGAGTTTATTCTCTTACAGTCTGGGAGACTAGAAGTCCAAGTTCAAAGTGTCAGGCTCTAGGGGTTGGGTGGAAGCCCCTCAGCCTTGGGGTTCAGCTCTGCCTCCTGCTCCTGGCCCGCTGGAGCTAGAGGCTTTTCTGCACTCAGACAGCTGCTGGCTGCTGAGGCTGACAAGCGCAAGGTTGACAAGTAAAAAGGCACACACGGCACACGGCATTAATTTAAGTCTATTGAAAATCCCAAGGTCAGCAGAGCACGGCAGGCTGCTGAACGACGGCTACATGCAGGGTCCAAGTGTGCCATAAGCTAGAGACTACCCCCAAGGCTTCTCCTTACGTACAGGAAGAAGACCACATCCCAAAGGCAGCTACTCAGCTGCTCACAGTAGATCCCACCATGGAGCTGATTGCCAGTCTCATCGTGGGGAATACTGCATCCAGGCGCCCAGCCGCTCAACCAGGCCCAGCCAAGTTGACACACAAACTAAACTACTACACTCTTTGTCAGAGAGAAGAAGCAAGTATATATATATATAATAAGAATAAACCAAAAACCAAACCAAACTCACTGCTATCGAGTCAGATCCAACTCATACCGACCCCTCCTTGGGTTTCTGAGGCAGTATCTCTACAGAAGTAGATTGTCCAACCTTCTGAGGAATGGCTGGTGGGTTTGAACTGCCAGCCTCTGGTTAGCAGTGAAATAAATACCTTGGGCACTACAC